ACCGAACCGGCGGTATCGTGGAGTCTGTGGTGAACGTGCAGGGCGTCCACAAGACCATCATCGAGGATATCAGCGATAGCGAGGACTCGAGCCCCGAACAGGGCAGTCTGACCAGTCTGCGTAAGAAGCGCTACAGCAGTAGCGAGGAGGAGAGCCAGCGTTTGGTGAACTTCTAGCGGCTGGCGACGACATAGCACATATTACAGAAAGCTACATTTATGAGATGGAGGTGTAGTCGTAGCGGAAGCGGCACCGAATTTGCGCTTTCGGGAAGACGAAGGTGAACCATCAAGGGATGCAATTCAAACTTCAAGGAATCTTCAAGAAGTGGTACCCGCCTTATCAGTATTCCTAATGCCCCACCAGCTTATCTCTACAGTAGACGTCAAAGCCGGTAAGCGATGCAGGGTCCACCTTCTAGAAACCAAGACACCCAAACAACCCCTTCTCTTCAATTTCCATACTTCCATTTCGCCATTCTCTACCATCCCCTTGGCTCTTCATCGCGGAATTGAGCCCCACGTCATGGTTATCTGCCCTGCTCCAGATGCCGTGGTAGGATCACAGCAGATGGCTGCGAAAGCAAGAAACATGTTATCCACAGTTCCGGCGGGTCACAAAAACGACGTCTGCTAACAAATCAGAATAGCGTTTTTCGATCAGACAACAAATTTGCAGACAACAAATTTGCAGCTTTTTCTGATTTTTTTGTAGAGTCTCCAGACCACTCGGCCCCTTCGGCTCGGCAGATACGCAACCGAGGTATTTTTCAGTCACCCCAGCCGAAGGCGTAGAAACAGCCTCTCGAAGGGTAAAAACGAAAAAGTGAAACCACAAATCCACTAGGACTGCTGTGGCCGTCACTCGACGAAAAGTGCCCTGTTTTTCGGCTTTAGCCCTCGGTGCCGCCGCATCCGTGTGGAGCCGGTGAGCCGATTCATCTGCCCAGATTGACCAGATTGGTGATCAAAGGGAGCAGAGAAATCTTAAGAGGAGCTTTTGGAAACTTTGAAAACTTGAAAATACCGCTTCTTTATACCACTTCTTGGAATCCGCCAAAAACCGATTAATTGATACCCCCGCTACTGGCTTTATTTCCCCAAATCAACCTGGTAACCCACGGTTTCGCAGCCATAGCTGAAGCACTCAAGCCCCATACCTTCAACACTCAAGCCCCGTATATCCAGCGGATTCCGCCTCAAGCCGATTTTCAAAACCACATTCCCAAAACCCCCGTCACCCTCCGCCAACCTACCCACTAAATTCCAAAAATTTCGTCCCCTGCCAACTTTCCGTGTGCACCTTCGCTGCTGTTTCCTTTTATAAGGCGCGAAGTCACTAGCAACTCCACCTCAACCTCCACCTCCATCTTCATGACAGAAAAGAAACACCGGTCCCTCAAGGACCTCTTCAAGCACCTGTCGCTGCTGCTGCTGCTGCTTAACAAAATGGGCCATCTGGACCACCGGCTGTTTCTCAGAAGAAGAAACCTGAAACTGCTGCTTACGCCTCAGACAAGCTCGTCGCTGAAACCGTCTCTGGGGAACTCGCCAGCAGCTAGTGATCTGGAGGAGTCCGTCAGGAAGGGCAAGGGAAACCGCAGAAAACACGAGCTGTCCCACCTTTCGTTGAAACGGTTTTTCAAGATCCTAAGACCAGAGCATTTGGACGAGGGCGTCAAGGACAAAACTCCGCCCGATTTGCCCCTTTCGCTGACGCTGGACTTGGCAAAGAAGTACGATATCGGGAAATTGATCGGCACAGGCGCCTCGGGCTCGGTCAACTTGGTCACGGCCCACGGCAACGAGAACGAGATCTTTGCCGTGAAGAAATTCCGGGCTCGCTTGAAGAACGAGCTGGAACACGACTACCAGACGAAGGTGAAGAACGAGTTTTTGATTGGCGACTACCTCAAGCACCAGAACTTGGTGCACACCATGGAGTTGATCAAGGAGAAGCTGGAGTACCTTATTGTCATGGAATACTGTCCCTACGACTTTTTCAACTTGGTCATGCTGGGTCTCATGAAGGTTGAAGAGGTGTGCTGCTATTTTAAGCAGATTGTGAACGGTGTGGCCCACTTGCACGAGGCGGGCATCGCCCATCGTGATTTGAAGTTAGACAACTGTGTGGTGAATCTGGACGGTGTGCTCAAACTCATTGACTTCGGCTCCGCCTTTCAGTATAGAAAAGACAGCAAATCGAGCTCCGGCCCACAGACAAAAATCCTCAAAGCTAAGGGTATCGTTGGTTCCGATCCATACTTGGCTCCTGAGGTTTTCGACACCACCACGCCGTACGATGCCCGTTTGGCCGACGTGTGGTCCATTGCCATTATCTTCTGCTGCATGATTCTCAAGCGTTTCCCATGGAAACTCCCCAGATCGAGCGATCCGCTGTTCCGTTCGTTTGCTTGTCTTAATAGTATGGATGAGCCTGTCAGTGCACAGGAAATGGAAGAAAAGGACTCCAAGGGGCCCAAGTACGGCTCGGAAAGACTTCTCCGTCTTCTTCCGCAGGGCTCCAGACCTCTTATCGCCAGCATGCTTACCATCGACACTACCAAGCGTTGTCTAATAGGCGATGTCCTCGCAGACCCCTTCTACAAAGATATCCAGCATTGTTACTACGCCGAAGTGGACGAGGAGCCACAAGAGGAATTCAAGGAAGCTCAAGAAGACGATTTGCAGCCCCCACAGCCGCCAATGTCGCCAGAGGCTGCTCTGTCTCCAGGCTCAGAATTACAGACACCCAGCTCCAGCGGTTCAGCCACACCCAGAGTCTTGTCCCACGACGCCATCAGCCACGAGCACTCGGCCCACCGGTTCGGCAGTCATATTCACAATCCAGAGGCCTTTGCCGGTAAAAAGGCCGTCAAGCGTGTGGAGCGTTTCTTCAAGGCACCCAACCACACCCACCATTTGGTTACAGAAAAGGAACTAGAGCAGATCAATGCCGAGCGCCAGCGGGCCCGCAAGTTGAAGGAGTCCGGCGCCGCCTAAACAGCACTATTTTGGAAATTATTGTCATAGACGTTTCATTCGCTTTATCAGGTCTGTAGAGGTGCATTCGCATTTGCAACCATTTGGATGCATCCAAGTTGCACAAAACTCAACACAAAACGAACACACCAACACCCTCTTTGAAGAATTAACAGAACAAGTAAAATAATCCCTTTATCTAAATCCTCTCCCATCCGCTTATTTCCACTAAGCCATCGGCTTCCGTGCATCTCGCCTTATCTGGTGCACGGAGGCGGTCATGTCTATTTACAACTACAACAACTACAATCAACATCAACAACCCATGTCTGGCCACGCCGTGGCTCTCCCGCACTGGATCCAGACCGTGTCTGGATGGAGCGCTTTGGCGTCTCTGGTGATCATTTTTTTCAGCATTCTTCTACATCTTCTAAATTACAGAAAACCGTTCCAGCAGCGCTTGATGATCCGGATCCAGTTGATCGTGCCGCTTTTCGCCATTCTGTGCTACTCAATGCTCCGTGATCCGACGGCCGTGTTCAACAAGTTTGTGGTCGAGCCCGTTCGAGAAATATACGAGGCGTTCGTCATCTACACGTTCTTCTCGTTGCTTACTGATATGCTTGGAGGAGCCAAAAGCATCATCATCATGACCAGCGGGCGGCCTCCTGTGCTGCATCCGGGGTTTGTGAAGTGGATCCTTCCGCCCTTGGATATCCTGGACCCGCAGACGTTTTTGGCCATCAAAAGAGGTATTCTACAGTATGTCTGGTTGAAGCCGGTCATCTGTTTTGGCACCTTGTTCTTCGAGCTCCTCGGCTGGTACAACGTCAACGATATGAGCGCCAGCTCGTTGTACCTCTGGTTCACGATTGTCTACAACTTCTCGGTGTCGCTCTCGTTGTACTGCCTTGCCATCTTCTGGAAGATCCTCTGGCAGGACCTCAAGCCGTTCAACCCCATGGGAAAGTTTCTTTGTGTCAAGCTCATCATCTTTGCCTCCTACTGGCAGGGTGTTCTCTTGGCGATTCTTAACATCATGGGCGTTTTGCCAGGGGACAGTTCGCAGGACGAAAACGGAGCCCCAAACATCGGTGTATCTATTCAAAACGCCTTGCTCTGCGTGGAGCTTATAGCCTTTGCCATTGGCCACTGGCTTTCCTTCTCGTATAAGCCATACACCATCTCGAGGATGCCTACGGGAAGAGTGCAGTTTTACTACGCTCTTCGAGACATGTTCGGTATCAAGGATTTGGTCGTGGACTTCGCCCTTACGTTCTACGGCGACTACTACAAGGATTATAAGCAGTTTGACTCGGTCGAAGCGCTTATAGCTCATCCGTCGCTGAAGAGCCGTATGGGCCGTATCAACCAGGGTCTCCGCTACCAGCCCGATGGCAAGCAAAAGCACTGGCTCCCGCTGCAAAACCTACAGTCCTCGCCTCTGGCAGGCCAGGCCAGCATCCGCAGCACCTCGGAGATCAACGCCATCTCCAACAATATTTATCTGCAGCAGTACGGGCGTACACATTCGATTTACGCTCCCTCGCTAGCATCAACTGGAACGTCCACCAGAGCTCTTTATCCGCATTCCGATAAAGGAAGCCCGCCAGCGTCGCCGTTGCTTTCCGACGCCCACTCCGTGAAGACGAACCCTTCCAATTTGGAGGAGGAGTTTTCGGAAACCATCTCGGAGACACTCCGGAAGCTCAACCCCAATGTCAGCTATGACAACGAGTACCTTGATGAGGATGAGCAGTTCTACCAGGCTGCATGCTCTGTTGTAAACAACTACAACCTCGACCAAACGGAGGTGAAGAAGTTGATCAATTACCCAATCGTGGATGAGCTTATCGTTGGCCACGAGTATGGCTACAAAGTCAAAAAATTGCGTGCGGATCGGATTCGCCAACAACGGCAAAACAACTACAGCAGCCTTTCCCGAAATGACAACCGTGGGTACGGCAGTGTCTAATAATCATGCCTTCATAATATATACAAGTTGGGTCGTTCAGTTTTCTAATCATCTAGCTTGAACAGGTAAAGAGAGTCGAGGTCGTCATCTGCCACCTTTGGCTTCTGCTGCTTCGCTTTCTTCTCCTGTTCCTTCTCCAAACGTCTTTGTTTTTTGAGTTCCCTCTCGGAAACCTCTTCTGCTTCCGAATTTGCAGTGTGAGCCACCTTCTTAGGTGAGCAGTTGAAAGCTGCCCTAGCATCAACACTTCCCGATTCTTCAAAAGGACAATCGAGTTCCACCAAGATATCCCTCACCTTCTCCACCACCTTCTCACGTTTGCGAAGCTCTATCTCTAACGCCTCATCTTCAACGTTTCTGATGGTGGTGGTTCCACTCAACAGATCCATGAGTCTGTCTTCCTCGCTGAGCTTTTTGGACTTGAACAACGAATGCTTGTCGCCGAGGTAAATGAAAAATTTATCCTGCTTTTTGACACGTCTAGCGATTTCGTTGTATTTCTGGTTCGCCAAGTCCTGGTTATTGATGGACCATGAAAGAGGTACAATCTTCAAGGCCAGTTTCTTCCGTTCCGCTTGTTGCTTCTGATTGGCTGCTCTTCTAGCGGATGCACTTCCCAATTGCAAGAGCTCTTCCTGCTTTCTAGCAGCTAGCATATCAGAAAATGTTCGGAGCATCTCCTGGATCGGAACCTTCTTGATGATAGGAAACAGCAGCTGTCCTCCTTTGTCCTGCTTACTGACAAACATGCTGATACCGTCCTGACGAAAGTCCATCAGATTGACGATCGTGCTGAGATTTGTGACTGTCAAATGCTTCGTTTCTGGGTCAAATACCTGAACCTTGTACGATGGACTCAAACCATGGACCTGCTTGATGATATCCTTGACTGCAAGCCTGGCCTGGTCACTGCCGGAATCGAAATTGAACCTCACAACCTTTGTCTTTTTTCTATCTCTATCATTGGATTTGTGGTTTTTGTATGGTTTGTTGTTGTGGTTAGGTTTCTTGTTATATGAAGCTGCAAATCTGTTACCACCTGAAGATGAGGGTTTGGGAGGTCCTTGAGAAAATGTGTTTGCATTTCCTGCAGCTTTATGTAAAGCTTGACATGTGGAAAACGGTCTTAGTGATCGAAATAGACTCTGTATGGCTGTTCGGGAGGCCATCATCTTATGCTGATGAAATGTATGGGAGCATTTTTCAAAATATACTGCAAGTGGAGTCACGTGCATTTGCAGCCAGTACAAACCCCTACTACGACAGCTCTAAATCATAAAAAGATTTTTCTCTATTCACATTCAAAAAGCGTAACACGTAATAAATAAGTTAATAATTAAGGTTGTAAGGGTCGAGGTTGTCGAAAGTGGATCCGAAGGGAAGATTCTCAAGCTCGTCCAAGCCTAAGTTGTTCATCATCTCCTCCGGCTTAACCTCTGAGTAGTCTGTTTCAGTCTGGTTCCCCTGGGACTCAGCCTGTTTTTTGTTGCCCTCGAGCATATATGGTGGGAGGATTCTGCCGAAAATTTGTGTGTCGAGCAGATCCATCACACCAGGAACATAGTTATTCTCGCAATTGTCGGACTTTCCGGAGTCACTGTAGCTGCGGCCATCAGCACCTTTGTTAGATTCGTTTCCAAAGTCTTGTTGTAAGTTTTCTTGAGCTCTTCTCTCCTCTGCCTTTTCATTTTCAGCCATACGTGCACTCCGATCGAAAAGCTCAGTGTACTGGTTCGAAAGGGTGTCCTTTGTCAGCTCGATAAGGCCAAACTCTCCCAGCATTGGTGGTACAGCAGGGCGCACACCGTCACGGAAGTCGTTGATATCATCGAAGTTTCGAAGCGTAAGTTGGACAGTCTCGTCGTTGGCTTCAAGAGAGGCGCTGTTCCTGAAGTTGGTCTTCATGGACGTATCAGCCGTTCTTCTGTTTAATTGTTCAAACAAATTGTTCAAAATGTTGTAGATCCTAAGCGAGGCATTGGACATGTTCTTCAAAGTGTCCAACACCTTGCGTCCAATCTCAATATCCTCCTTGATCATCTCGATATTCAAGTCATCATCAAACAAAACGCCCGCGTAGTTCATTCCTTGATTGTTCTTGTGCTGGTTGTTGTAGTTGGCAAAGTGGTAGTAGTAAATCAAACAAGCGATGGAAAAGAAGATCGTGTACATGGAGAACCAGTAGGTTCCAACCAAGAGCTTCTGGTTGATCATTTTGTTTGCAAGCTTGACAACCATACGAGCAACCTTGATACAATTTCTGCCTCTGATAAGGGAGCGAGGATCTGAGTTTGACGCCTGATAACCGTTACTGATGTAATGAATGAATGGACGGTACAAGTTGTTTTGGCAGTTCAAAAACAGTAGATGAAGGTAGTAGTTGGCGAGCAAGAAACGTTCAGGAATCTTCTTGCTGCTCTCGGGGTCACTGGGATCCGTAGGTTTAAGCTCTGGAGGAAGGTTATCGAGCCATTGTTTCAACTCAAATTCAAGCTCGGTAACCTTGTCGTGCATTTTGTCCGAGACCACACGCTCCGGCAGTTTTGACTTGATTTTGATGGGATAGAGCTCCTTGACAATGTGGGAAAGAATGATCGTAAGCTTGGTGTGGTGGTTTGCACAACCAGAAGAAGAAAGACGACCTTCCTGCTTGTCAAAGAGGTAGCTATCACGGGTGATGAACTCGTCATCAAGTTCCACGGGGAAGTTCTGATCATACTCGTCTTCGCTGATCGACTGAGAGAGACCCAAAAGCGAGTTGATGTAGATGTCCATCTTGTAGATGGTATAGAAAAGACGCTTCCTCGTGTCGACCTCAATGGGATCTAGCTTGCGTTTTGAGGACTGAAAGATGGACAAGTTTCTGTGGAGACCTTCCTTCAATGCGCTTCTCAATGCAATACCAATGTACGAGTAACAGGTCGAAAGACGAGCCAGGCACTGCAAGTAGATGATCATCATGACAATGGTTTGGATCGAGGGAATGTCACCGACGTTGGTGATATCGATGAGTTTCCGGGCCTCGAGGAAATACCGGAACCCATCGTCCTCCAAGGAGTGGTCTGACAGATTGTTCGTATACAGCAGACGGGAGAAAAGCGAGCCGCAAGCCAAGATGGAGTACATGAACGGCAAGAACTTCTGTTGTCTGTTTGTGTAGTAGAGCGGGCCCATGCTGTATAAAAGATCAACTTCTTCAAGTAGCGACGGTCTGTGGTAGAATCTGAACAAGACACAGGCCTTGGACCACGTTGTAAATATAAGCTGGAGCGCCACTTCTTTTGGAGGTAAAATAATCTTGATTTCTGCGCCAATGGAGTCTTCGTTCAGTGTGGTGGTGGAAACGTACGGATCTAGCTGGTTGATGGGGGAGGCGTTTGGGGTCGCAGCGTCCAAGTAGAGATCGGAGATATCCCTGACATTGATGTTTGCCGGGTTTTTCTGCTGGAGATAACCCACAATCCGCTGCAATTTGGGCAAGTCAAACGGCAGGCGCAGGTCGTCCATCAAGTTGATGTTCAACTTGGGGAACAAGAGCTGCACCAAGCCCTGGCATAGCTGCAAATTCGGCACCGAGTTCGGCATCAGCTGGGAGCGGTTCATCAGAAGCAGCTTCAAAAGCGGATTCAGCTGGGGATCCAGCGGCAACGGAGGAGGCGCCTTCTTGTTTCGTACATTGGGCTGATCGTAGGTGCAATTGTACGAGTACACCGTGCAATGGATACACGGCTGTTTGCCGTCACATTTCACTTTCTTGTGACGACAGCAGTCGCAGGCACGGGTGACACGTTTTCGTTTGGTCGCTGGACCCATGCTGGCTCCTCCCTGGTAGGGGTCCATGGAGAAGCTGTTTGTCGAGGCCATGGGCGGAGCGGCGTAAGGGTCTTGTTTGGGGGACCCTGACATGGTGTGGGGGAGATTTGGGGGCGATTTGGGGGCGCTTTGTGGGGGAGGCGTGTTATATAATGGTGGATTCGGCTGGTGGTGGGCTGGTTGGTGGGAAAAGAGAGTGGTCGTACTGAAAATCGACAAGGATTTTAGTGCAGGCGCATTGTGGGGGACCTCGCAGTTAGAAGGTGCCAAGGTGGTGGGGCTGGTTTGGAAGATCTTCTAAGTGAGGGTGAATTCGGAGTCAGAAATGTTTTGTGGTTTTGGTAGTTTTTTAGATTTTGTTGAAAACGCTGCTTCTTGGTTGTTTCGTGCCATGATGCAAGGCGCCTAGTAGGCGAGCCTAAACATGTGTCAAATGGGTTATCCGGGATGAAAGTGAGGCGGCCGAACAATGAAGAATTTGGTGTGTTTTCTAAAATTTGGGTGATTTTGCGAATCTGGGGCTCTACGGCGGGCTTGTGTTGCTCATTGTCCTTTTCTTGACTCTGGCGTTGTGAGCACTGGCTTGGAATGCTGATGAATGAGTACTACAGAAAAGAGTCATTTGTGGTGATGATGTGGCGGAAGCGTGGTGGAGAGTTCGGAAAAATGGGCTCCAAGTGGTTTGACGCTTCTTTTAGGTTTATCGTGGATTTTGGTGGTTTTTTGGTGATATACGGACGGTGAGGCTGAAATACGGCTTAATGTGCCACACATGATACACCTGAGACATCAGTGTATCCGGTCGATAAAGATTGAACATAAAAAAGCCTGATTCCCTTCAACAAAACATCCTTAGAAAAACGCCCTCCTTGCTGTTTCCCTATGTTCCGCCACCCTTGGGATTGCGCTATCGGTCGAATAAGCTAGTGGTCTCGTGCAGATATGTACGATGTCCATCATAGCCGACCAGCTTATTAAAGCATAACCACATGGCACGACCGCAGCGGTCTGCAAGATGACCGAAAAGCTTAATGGAAAGCTTAAGCTTATTTACGGCGTTACTTGAGGAGCGGAATATTGAATTGCTGCAAACTTTTCAAGCCATCACTAAGCTTCCAAGAAGCACCTCTACATTTCAATTCAAAGACTGTTTATTTCAAAACTCACTTGTCCAACTTGCCCTCGACCTGGAGGATCTGCCTGGCACTATCTTCAATAGACTGCTCGACAGAAATCAACTCAAAGCCCAAGATCTTCCGGGTCTTGTCGTTGTTCTTCTTGGCCTTAGTGTCGATATCCTCCTGGCCAGAACCTGGCTTGCCCACAGGCACGTTTTCCGTCTGTTTGGGGAACTTCTCGTGCAAAACGTCCAAAATCGTCTGCTGTGTGAACAGACCACTGGTCAAGAACAAACGCTGGTTTTTCGCCTCGTCCTTTTCGAAAGCAACTAAGTGGGCTTTGGCTACATCACGAACATCGACTCCAATGGAGTTGTAAGGGGCCACTTCGTCCTGAGGACTCTTGATCTTGAGAACGGCATTGATCACCTCAGAGGAGGTGTTGAGCTTTTCGGTGCTAAAGTCGTCTGTAGGCTGAGGTCCGAAAACAAGCACAGGGTTCACCGTGGACAAAACAAAAGCCGGCTTTTGCTCCTTGACAAACTCCCACGCAGCCTTTTCTGCAAAAACCTTCGATCCGCTGTAGCCGTAAAGCGGACTCTCCAAGGCCTTTTCCCAGGTGAGGTTGTTCCATGAGGTTTCATCAAACGTCTGGTCCGCTTGCAGGTCCTGGTCCCGAGAAGCAATGGCTGCAAAAGAGGAGGTAACAACCACTCTCTTGATATTTGGACCGTACTTGGCAATCGACAGCAAGGCGTTCTTGGTTCCATGGACCGCAGGCTTGAGAAGGTCTTTTTCCACATCGGTCACATTGTAGTGAAAGGGCGAGGCAGTATGCAAAAAGACCGTGGCTTCCTGGTGTTTCTTGACGAATTCATCAAAAGCACCCTCTTGGGCAATGTCCTCCACAATCTCGTAAGAAAAGCTCTCGGGCTTCCCAGAAAGCTTCTTGACGTATTCTCCCTTTTCCTTGCTTCTCACCGATCCAACGACCGTGTAGCCGTTCTTGATAAGCTGTTGAACTGTGTGTGCAGCAATGAAGCCGGAGGCTCCAGAAATCAAAACTGTAGTAGTCATGGTGGTTTTTAAAAGTGGCAATCGTGCTCTTCTTATACCCTGGTGGCAAGGATTTCGCAGCCACGGAGAATATACATAACGGTCGATCGCTGCATTGTGGCCATTTTCTCCGAAGCCACACCTTTGCGTTTTTCCGCCCCTCTTTTGATGTACGTACCGTCGCTTATGTTAGTTTGACGTTTGGGTGCGTTTTCGTAGGACTTTTCGAGATCCAGCTTACAAACTCCGGCGACACGTCTGTGACATAACCTATGTAAATTGAAACTATATTTTGACGACCGGCCCAGGAAAACCAGTCCCCCTGGACTCGGCACTTTTCTATGCCACCCACTCTACTCTTGTAACGAACGTTATTATCGTAAATGCAATTTTTTATCCACCACAGCAACGCTGCGTTCAGTCGTGACATGTACGGGCCAGGTATCCACCACCCGTGAATCAGACACCTACCGGTCGAGCTCAACTGACCAACAGTGCCTTCTAAGCGCTAACTCTAGCCACCTTAGTAACCATGTACTATCTCTCCTCATATCCTGATGGGCTTCTCAAGCAAGTGTCCCATTCTTTCGATCTTGGCACTGAGATAGCCTTCAATCTCCTTCGACTTGATGCCCTCCAGTGTTCTCCACGCCAAAGGCACCATGGGCACTCTCTCGGCCACCTTCACGTCTCTGTTCATGCCCTCCACGGCTATGATCTTGTCGGGGTTGTTTGTCAAGAGTTTGATCTCCAAAAGGTTTAAGTCCACAAGGATGGCCGTGGCCAACAGGAACAGCCTTCCATCGGCAGGATGCCTCAAGAGCAAGTTCGCCTGGACAGTGTCGGCGCCCAAATCCTGAAGGTTATAGGCCTTCAACTTCTCGCCAAGGCCGATTCCACGGCCCTCCTGTCTCAAGTACACGATACACCCGTGACCGTTTTCACCAAGAAGCCTGCCAGCCTCGTTGAACTGCTCTCCACAGTCACAACGTGCCGACCACGCCGTCTCGCCCGTGTAGCACTCCGAGTGGATTCTGGCCATCACCTGGCCGTCGAACGTCGTTTCCGGCTCCCGGATCAAGTGACCGTCCTTGTCGAAATGCAACTCCTGGCCCGTTCTGTCGTCTCTGTCTGCGGCGTCCCGCCCAGGGAACAACTTGCCCACGTAGGCGCCACGTGTCATTCTGTCCTGCTGGGACTCGCCTGGTCTCTGTTGGAAGAGCGTCTTTGATCTGATATCCTCGCCAAACACTATGGCCAAGTGTTCCTTGTTGTCCACGTCGTTTTCGTACAAATGTAGGAAGATCTCGGGTCCCTGGACGGTGGGTATTCTGGCCCGAGCGATACAGCGCACCACAGGCAACTTATCGTGGATGGGCAACTTCCTTCTTTCTTCTTCCAGAACCACGGGAGGACTCTGGGGAGATGCGGTGATAGGCTCGGACGGGGTGGGCGCCGGCGACACTATGGGCATGTTACGGAACGCTTCGTCCAGATGGTCGGGTTTTTCCGCCTGCGGCTGGACAAGGGTCATTTTGGATTTTTCGTTTGAGGTCTGGGGAAGAAGATGTAGATATAGTGCGACCCATATGACAAAGGCATGCTGTTGCGGAGGGCTTGTGTGCAGTACGCACTGGTTAGCTTAGGCGGTGTTAGTACTATTAGTAATGGTGTGGTTAGCCTTGACAAATCGTGCAGGTAACAGAGATGGGCTACTGTGGGCGGCTGAATAAGTATTAGTAGGGCTGAGGGGACATTGTTATGGAGTTTTTCAAGGTTTTTCAGATTTTTCAAAATTTTCCACCATGGCACAAAAGTGGCTTCGCTTGACACCTGTCAACGTCAAAGCCCGGCCGAGCTCGGAACCACCATATCACAGGCTGCATTGGAAAACACGGCTTAGAGTTGGGTGATTTTGTTTTTGCAATCTGGGTTTTTGTTTTTCCACTTTTTCTGAATTTCTCTGCCCCTGTAAGTACCCCTGGCTGGATCACCCGCTTGACACATCCTATCGCTTGGCATTTGCACCCATGGTGCGATTGTGTGGGCCATTTTCGGCATGTGTTATCAGATCAATCTGGTGAGGCGCTGCAAGGGGCTGATAACAAACGCTCCAATGGGCGGTGAAAACGAAAATTGCACAATTTCGGCTCGGGAGCCGCCGAGGCTTTTGTGGTGCTAGTCCAATGGGAGGTTTACCCGAACAACGAAGAAGAATGTCTGGATTGGGGGCACATCCGAAGAATGGGGGGCACCGTTTGAAGAATGGGGGCGTTCCAGGAGGTTCTCTCGGATAATCCTGGTTCTTAGATGATAGGGATATGATGTCAAAGACATTACGGTTTTTGTGTGTCTAGTATGTAACGAAACGAGGTGGTGGAACGATATTGTTGAATTGGCTTCTCGAAGCCTTCAAACCTCCAGACTTCACGAAGCGTAGAAAACCCCCTCTGATTGGCCACTGCTGGCCTCACGGCTTGGACTAACTGGAAGCCACATACCGCATGGATTTTGACGGTGGTTTATCCGACTGGCTGCTTTAGGAGGCAGTGCTCACGAACTGGGGTGGCTTATTAGGTACTCCAGGCCGTCTGGCGAAGGTTTTTCTGGGATTGGTGCTTTGGAGAGGAAGGGTGTCCGATTTTCGTCAATCAAGGTGGCTGGGTTGCTCTGGACCAGTGCTGTTTGGAGGCGTATGTGAAGAAGTTCGGGTAAAGGAGATCTAGTGGTGATTGGTGGAATGTTTTTCGTAATGTGTTCTTCTGGGATCAATTTTGATTTCCTTAATATTCCAAGTTGGCATCAAACGTTGAGTTAGTGGTTTTCAACACAGGATAGTTAGCTATTCCTGGAGTCGGGACTGTTCACTACTTTTCCTATCATTAGGAGATTTGAGAGATGGCATGCATCTTTGGAACACATATTAAAGAATACTGGCAACTAGGCTGCTTAAAATTTCGAAAGTAGTAGCCATGAGCTGACAGGCAGTATGGGCATGGGGCCATTGGGAGGCTTCACATGTTGATGACGATGGAATGACCTCGATTTCGAGTCTAGACGGTCTACTAAAATCTAGCAAATTCTTCGCTTCTTCACTGATATTAGCAAAACACTCCGGGAGATATTGATAGACTGTAAAAGGAAGTATCGAAATGTGAGCAGAGTGAAGCGCTTTTTATAGGGTACCTTTCCTTGTTCTTCTGGCGAATTATCTCGCTCCTTCATGAGACCTAGTGAATTAAAATCAAAGCTGGTGATTTCTCCTATTGATAGACACATCAAGAAAAGGCAGTCATACGGCAGAGAGAAGTCAGAAGACCCCTAAGGTGATAGCTCAATAATTCTTGCTTGACGATGGATTTTCATACTTATCCTCACTCTTCTGTTCTTTTTGCTGAATTGTCGATTTGTGAAGAAAACAGCCTATTCTGACGCATTCCATCTTTTCAAATCGACCACTGGTACTCCGTACTCCGAGTACTGTATAAGTCTTTTTGGGTAGGTCAGCCTTCACACTAAGCAACAGACACCACTACACCCAACCAATGCTAGTGCAACCACTTCCTAACCTCCAAATCATCAAAAGAACGCCCCTTAAGTGATTCATGAAATTCAAACTTTCATGAATGTTGATTGGATTCATAATATGAGTCCTGCATATACCACCAGTCATGTGGGGACGAACAGCACAGCAAAGCCAAACACACGAACAGCATTTATAAAGGAATCCAAAATTCGAACATTCTGGACTTCAAAAGAAACCCTTCATCTTCAACGCCCCAGCAACGGTATGCTGACTCAGGACCCTGGAGAGCTCGTAGTGGCGGTGTGCATACAAGTAGGGCCAATCACCGCAACCCATTTTCTCGTTACGCTCAGAAAAAATCTACTACTCTACATCAACTACTCACCCACATTTCTTCATGCTTTCGTTGGTTTCCAGAACAACGTTACGTGGTATTGCCACGTCGGCCAGACTCGCCAAACCAGCAGCAGCAGCAGGCCCAGAGTACTTGACCACCGGTGGGTCGACTCAGTCTGTGTGGCCTAAAGGTTTCAGACAACCCAGACCAAAGACATGGGAGGAGCTGAGCGAATCGGCCCTTTCCAAAGCCACCAAGTTCTTCTTCCTCAGTGAGATCGCCAGAGGAATGTACATTTGTATGGAGATGTTCTTCCGTGCCCCATACACCATCTACTATCCTTTTGAGAAGGGCCCCATTTCGCCCCGTTTCAGAGGTGAGCACGCCTTGAGAAGATACCCCTCGGGCGAGGAGAGATGCATTGCTTGTAAGTTGTGTGAGGCGATCTGCCCAGCCCAGGCCATCACAATCGAGGCGGAGGAGAGAATCGACGGCTCCAGAAGAACCTACAAGTACGACATTGACATGACCAAGTGTATCTACTGCGGCTACTGTCAGGAGTCCTGTCCTGTGGACGCCATTGTCGAGAGTCCTAACGTCGAGTACTCGACGGCGACCCGTGAAGAGTTGTTGTACAACAAGGAGAAGTTGTTGGCCAACGGTGACAAGTGGGAGCAGGAGTTGCAGTACTGTATTGACGCCGACGCCCCCTACCGTTAAGTTACTGAAACGGCCCCCGCCGCCCAGCGGCATCTGCATTCGATTCTGGCTCGGTCGACCCTGGCCCAACCAGAGTGTAATATATAGCGAGCTCTGCTCCCCCGATAAACATTACGAAAGACCCTGATTGTAGGATGGTGCCAGTACTGAGCAGATGGAGGTAGCAATTTCAAAGTTTTGGAATGAAGAAGCTACTTTCATGAGTTGCAGTAGTGCTGCATCATCAAGATCTGTTGCCTGGGCATAAGGCTGGAAAGCTCTAAGAATGTGTAGAAGGTTTACTGGAGATGCCCTTCAGGCGTTGTTACCAGACAATCTCAAGGGCTAGTGGCTTAAGTCGACTTTGATGCACATCTCAATAATTTTTCCACTTTTCTAGCTGTTGGCGTTTTTGCAATTGTTGATGTACTAGTTGTTGATGTTTCCGATATTTGGCTGCGAATGTACTATGCGACTCAATTTATAGCTATGTTCAAATGGAATTGACATTTTCCACAAAAGGTCATGAGAGAAAAAAAGATAGGGTATAGATGACTTCACAATTTTGAAACACAAATACTCGTCTCCACGCCATTTTTTATTTTGAATTCTACCCATCTCGGTGTAAATCCTAAAGGCTCAGCTATACCCCATAGAACTCCACAACCTCTTCCACCCAATCGCTAACTATCAAGAATGAAACCACAATTGACTAGTAATTAATTGTAAAAGTCCTGATTGCCTTTCCCCCGACCAAGTCCGAACATTTAATTATCACTTTTCAGCTTAATGTACCTAAATAGCCAGCATCATTGTAAACAATACCAAGCATGGCAACATCCACTTCGAGCCAAAAACTCCTGATATAAGAACTTAAGCTCTCACAATCTCAAATAAAACCTGGCATCCACGGAACAACAACCAAATCGTGAAACCTCCAAATGTGTGTTCAGCCGCATGGTCTAAACCACACCCACAACACCACTACCCAACAACGCCCCCAAACCCCCTTCCACTTTTCCACTTTTCCACAAAAATCAAAGAAAGACACCCTCGGCTCCTAGATGTCCCGAGATGCACCGGTCACCTCTTCCACATCCTCGGCTTGTATCTGCCGATCTCAAACTTTATGGTGTGAGTTATCCAAAACATAGCCACGCCAACGACGGAAAGTTCACGGCCGTGACACAATTACACCAAAAACAAGAGCAATTGCTCGATGTCACAAAACCAGATTTAGGTTCGTAAATGGTTAGTACGGAAATCGGAGTTTCAAGTGCGCCGCATGCTTTCTGTGGAGTCGACCATCGATTCAGATGAGCTGCCAACAATAGAAGCAGTGACTGATCTACAGATTTTCCTCGGTATCAAATGGACACTTGACATCGATTATGATAAAAAGATTCAAATTTCAATGTTCTCCTTTTCAAACACCCAGCAACCAACGGCCTCCCGACTATGACCAGCCCACCATTTCTTATCTCCGCTATCGACCACAAAACCAAAGAACATTTTCCCGATCATGGGCCCATTGGGTGACTCCAGATTGCTCCCTGGTCCCTATAGCCTTTTAACGTTGGGGCGTGCATCACGTCCTGCACATAGCGCATGCACCGTCCCCATTAGGCGTTGGCTGCGAAACCTCAGATGATGCCACTACCTCGGGTCATCCCCGTATATAGCCCTATCTGTAGTATTTTCAAATCTGTAAAAATGTCCTCCCGAAGTCTGAGCACGTATAATGGCTTCACGCCTGCCGTGGAGGAAGAAATACGGGACCTTGCGAAAAACATCCAACTGCAATGCCTGGGTCTGACGTCTGAAAACAACTTGTACCGGTTCATGAGCCACGAGTCCCAGGTTCATGGCGAGAATCCAGTCACATCCACCGATGAGCGTCTTGATCCCAATTCTGAAAAGTTTGATCTGCGTTTCTGGGTGAAAAACCTCAGGAAGTTGGTGGATCTGGACGAAGACTACTTCAAGCCAGCCCTGCTTGGGGTCGCCTACAAGAACATGAGCGTTTTTGGCCATTCTACAGATTCCGACTACCAGGCTACATTCGCCAATGTGGTGTGGAAAGCCGCGGTGCATTGGATCAAGGGCCACAACAAGGCCTACAGAGACGCCATTCGGTTCGATATCTTGAAACCCATGGACGGCTTGATCAGTCCTGGCGAATTGACCGTCGTCTTGGGCCGTCCAGGAGCAGGATGTTCCACTTTTCTCAAAACTTTGGCCACACAAACCCACGGAGTGACTGTGGACGAAAACTCCACCATTCTGTACGACGGCTATTCCCAGCACGATGTGTCCCACCACTTTAGAGGCGACGTTGTGTACTGTGCTGAGGTGGAGAGCCATTTTCCTCACATGTTGGTGGGCGATACGCTCCAGTTTGCAGCCAAGCTTCGAACCCCGAAAAATAGGCCAATGGGTATTTCCAGAGAAGAATACTCGAGACACATGGCTGAGGTTGCCATGGCCACTTATGGTCTCTCGCATACGAAAAATACAAAAGTGGGCAACGACTTTGTTAGAGGTGTTTCTGGTGGTGAGCGTAAGAGAGTCTCTATTGCAGAGGTGTATCTTTCCCAGGCTAGCTTGCAGTGCTGGGATAACTCCACCAGAGGTTTAGATTCGGCTACAGCTATGGAGTTTATTCGTGCTTTGAAAGCGTCGGCCACTATTTGCAACGCTACCCCATTGGTGGCTATCTACCAGTGTTCTCAGGATACCTACGACATGTTCGACAAGGTGGTTTTGCTTTACGAAGGGTACCAGATTTTCTTTGGCAGCACTGCCAGTGCAAAAGAGTATTTTGTGAACATGGGCTGGCATTGTCCACAGAGACAGACCACCGCTGACTTCCTCACGTCTTTGACCAACCCGAGCCAAAGAGAGCCACAATACGGTTTTGAAGATAAAGTTCCCAGAACGCCCAAGGAATTCTACGAAATATGGCAGAAATCGCCCGAAAGAGCTGCCCTTCTCGGAGAAATCGACGAGTACCTCGCCTCAGAAGAAATCAATGCTAGAGCTCACAGATTCAAGGAACACCATCTTGCAACGCAAACATCCAGAACAAGAGCCAAGTCGTCGTACACCGTTTCCTTCGACATGCAAGTCAAGTACATCATGCAGAGAAACTGGCTTCGTTTGAAGGGAGACCCCTCAGTCACAGTGTCCAATGTGGTGTGCAACATCATTGTGTCTGTGCTTATCGCCACGATCTTCAACCATCTTAAATTCGACACGGAGTCGTTCTACTCACGTACGGCTGTTTTGTTTTTTGCCGTTTTGTTCAACGCTTTCTGCTCCCTTCTTGAGGTCTTTTCCTTGTATGAGGCCAGACCAGTGGTGGAAAAGCATAAGAAGTTTGCATTGTACCGCCCTGCTGCCGATGCCCTAGCCTCCATCATCACCGAGCTTCCGCCTAAAATCATCACCTCCATCGGCTTCAATTTGATTTTGTACTTTGTCGTCCATCTTCGTCAAAGCGCAGGTCACTTCTTCTTCTACTGGTTGATCAACTTCACTTGCACGTTGGCCATGTCACATATATTTAGAAGCATTGGTTCGGCCACCACCTCCTTGCAACAAGCCATGACGCCTGCATCCCTTTTGCTTTTCACCTTGATTGTGTTTACTGGTTTTGTCATTCCACCAAATAGCATGCACGGCTGGTGTCGCTGGATCAACTACATCGATCCGGTTGCCTATGCCTTTGAGAGTTTAATTACAAACGAGTTCCACGGAAGAGACTTTCCTTGTGCTTCTTTGGTGCCTCGTGGTGGAGACTACCCTCGGAGTGGAAACAGCGTTGTTTGTGGAGTTGTGGGTGCTATTCCTGGACGGTCTACTGTCAGTGGAGACGATTACATTGGACTTTCGTTTGAGTACTACAACACACACAAATGGAGAAACTGGGGCATTCTTTTGGCATACACCTTCTTCTTCCTTGGTGTCTACATCACCTTGGTGGAGTACAACAAGGGAGCCATGCAAAACGGTGAAATCTTGGTTTTCCAGCACAAGGCCTTGAAGCAGGAGAAAAAACGGAGAAAGGATCTTGAGGAAGGAAATGCCGAGAGAATTGCACCCGATGAGAAGTTCTACGATGCTCGTGAATCTGACAATTCCCAGAGCCTGAGCGATGCTAAGCTCCCTGTGTCCAACGAGATTCTCCACTGGCGGAATCTTCGTTACGAGGTGAAGATCAAAACAGAGCAGAGAATCATTTTGAACAACGTCGATGGTTGGGTTCGTCCCGGTCAGGTCACAGCGCTTATGGGTGCTTCTGGAGCAGGAAAAACGACCTTGTTGAATACGCTTTCGGAGCGTTTGACGTCTGGAATTATTACTAACGGTGTGAGAATGGTGAACGGAAAAGCTTTGGACTCGTCTTTCCAGAGATCCATTGGTTATGTTCAACAACAAGACTTGCATTTGCAGACCTCCACCGTCAGAGAAGCCCTCAAGTTCTCAGCCTACTTGCGTCAGCCATCTTCGGTTTCAAAAGCCGAAAAGGACGACTATGTCGACTACATCATCCAGCTTTTGGAAATGGAGCGGTACGCCGATGCCGTGGTGGGTGTTCCTGGAGAAGGTCTCAATGTTGAACAAAGAAAAAGACTCACCATTGGTGTGGAGCTTGTTGCCAAACCTCAATTGCTTTTGTTCTTGGACGAACCTACCTCCGGTTTGGACTCTGAAACCGCATGGTCTATTTGCAAGTTGATCAGAAAATTGGCAGACCACGGCCAGGCCATCTTGTGTACTATCCACCAGCCCTCGGCTATCTTGATGAAGGAGTTTGACCGTCTTTTGTTTCTTCAGAAGGGAGGCCAAACAGTGTATTTTGGTGACTTGGGCCACAACTGCCAGACACTTATTGACTATTTTGAGAAGTACGGAGCCTCCAAATGTCCACCTCACGCTAACCCTGCTGAGTGGATGTTGGAGGTCATTGGAGCTGCTCCTGGATCCCATGCTGACCAGGACTACTACGACGTTTGGCTCAAGTCTGATGAATACGCAGAGGTTCAAAAGGAGCTTGACGATATGGAAAAAGAGTTGGTCAAAATTCCAAAGGACGATGACCCAGACAGACATAAGTCTTACGCTGCGCCATACTTGTCTCAGTACCTTTTGGTCACCAAGAGAGTGTTTGAGCAGTGCTGGAGAACTCCTTCCTATACCTTGTCCAAAGCTGTGTTGGCTGTTTCCACTGCCCTCTTCAACGGTTTCGCTTTCTTCAACGCAGACAAAACGCTTCAAGGCCTTCAAAACCAGATGTTTTCGGTTTTCATGTTCTTCCTTGTCTTCATTACGCTTTCCCACCAGTATCTTCCCCACTTTGTGGCCCAAAGATCCTTGTACGAAGCCAGAGAGAGACCTTCCAAGACATTTTCATGGTTTGCGTTTATTTGTGCCCAGATAACCGGAGAGATTCCATGGAACATCATCTGTGGTACCGCAGCCTTCTTCTGCTGGTACTACCCTATTGGATTGTACCACAACGCCACAGAAACCAACACTGTCAATGAACGAGGCGCCACTATGTGGTTCACAATTGTGCTTTTCTACATCTACACCTCGTCGATGGCCCAATTGTGTATTTCCTTCATTGAGCTTGCTGAGAACGCAGCCAACCTTTCCATCTTCCTTTTCACAGCCTGCTTGAACTTCTGTGGTGTTTTGGTTTCCAAGAGCCAGATGCCCAAATTCTGGCTTTTCATGTACCGTTTCAACCCATTCACATATTTGGTGTCGGTGGTGCTCTCGGTGGGATTGGCTCATTCCAGGGTGGAGTGTTCGGAATCGGAACTTTTGCGTTTTGATCCACCACAAGGTCTTACGTGTGAACAGTACATGGCACCTTATATGGCAAAAGCCGGTGGTTATTTGACGGTGGATGCAGCCAAATGTGTCTACTGTAAGATGAGAGATACCGGTCCTTTCTTGAAGTCCATCAATGCGGACTACCACACCCGCTGGAGAGACATTGGTGTTTTTATTGGCTTCATTGTGTTTGATTTTGTTTTGACAGTCGGCTTCTACTGGCTTGCACGTATCCCCAAGGGAAGCAGGCAAAAGAAGCAGTGAGACATTTAATTAATCGTGATTGCATACATAGATAGTTTATTCATTTAGAGGTTGATTTGTAGGGGTGGGCCCCAAGCTGGCGGTATCGATAATAAAGAATGCTGATCAAAGTGCTACAGCATTCTGAAAGAAGTATCTATTCCTAGAAGAACGAAGAGGGTATATATCGACACTTTAGGAGGTCACTCGCGTTTCAAAATTTCATTGGCCGTCAGAAAAGCTCATTTCTTCTCAATTTTCAATTCTAGCTATTATTAGTAAAAATGTAGTTTTCACAATTGTCACAGTGCCATGTCTGTCATCCCCGATACACTCACACGACTAGTACAAAAGGCCACACACAACAAGCAAAGGAAAACTAAAAGCAACCTCAAAATCAATTAGCAGCCAAAAATCCAAATAAAACCCTCTTCAAAAAATAAGGTTTTTACCGAATCGCCGACGCCACAGCTGGATCTACCGTAGGGCCTGATCCAGACAGAACCCTCTGTGCACTCCAGTATCACCAACAGATAGAACCAACTACTCTTTTGAAAAACCACCCCAGCCATGCTCTATGCACTTCCGTGTATCGTCTGGGCGCTCCTCCTACCGTCACTATCGGCCCTCCGATTCGACGAGCATGCTGCCTTCACGCCAGCCCACCTTCGAGAGCTAAAAGCCCAGACAAAGCTACTTTTTCAGCATTCATGGGACTCATACATGGCGTTTGGGTTTCCTGCTGACGAGGTGCGGCCCATTTCGTGTGAACCATACGGCCCAGACTACGTCGACCAGCTGAACATGCGGAACGATGCTTTGGCCAATGTGCTGCTGACAGTGATAGACAACCTAGACCTGCTCTTTGTGATGGAAGAGTGGGGTGAACTTCGAAAGGTCTTGAAGTACCTTCACGAGAACCAGGCCACTCTTTTTGAACAAGATACTATAGTTCAAGTTTTCGAGGCGCTGATTCGGTGGCTTGGTGGCCTTCTTCTGGCACATTTGTTGCTTACAGATGTCCCGTGGCCCGATCGGCCTGAGTACGCTGAAGTGAGGCAGATTTGTGAGGAGTACGATGGATTTTTACTTATTTTGGCCTATGACCTTGGCATCCGCTTGATTCCAGCGTACCAGACGGAAACGAATTTGCCATTTCCACGAGTCAATCTCGCCAAAGGCCTTGAAGCTGTTCCATCGAAGATGAATGATGAAACATGCACTTCGGGGGTCACCACGCCATACGTCGAGTTTTCCTTACTTTCCAAACTCACTGGCGACTCTCAATTCGAGCAATTGACGAGCCTCTCTTTCTGGAAAATCTGGCACTCACGCTCTGGTCTTGGACTATTGTCCATGACGATAAATCCGGTGAAATCAGAGTGGATCGACTCCATTACCGGCGTCGGGGCCCTGGTAGACTCCTTCTACGAATACGCAGTCAAAGGATCTATCATATTCGGAGACGACAGCTTATGGCTGATCTTCACCAAAGCATACATGGCACTCTTGTCACATCTGGCTCAAAGCAACGGCATCCACGATCCTACCCTTTTTGGCAACGTTAATACAGGAAGCGGTGAGTTGGTCTCTACCTGGATAGACTCGCTTGGTGCCTTTTGGGCTGGTGTTCAGGTTCTAGCTGGTCGACTTACAGACGCTATTCTGAGCCACCTAATCTACATGAAAATGTGGGACTATTTCGATGCTGTTCCGGAAAGATGGTCTTTTCTCAGTGCATCCTCGAAATATGACCCACTCGAAGAGAGAATCGACAATGCCATCAACCTAGAATGGTACCCATTGAGACCCGAATTTATCGAGTCCACATACTACCTATTCCGTGCCACCAAGGACCCCATGTACTTGCAAATTGGCCTCCGTATCCTATCTGTTTTTGAGTCCAGGTTCATGACTAATTGTGGATTGGCAGGCTACCAGAACGTCAAGACTGGAGAACTCCAAAACCGTATGGAAACTTTCGTCATGGGAGAGCTGCTTAAATACCTTTATTTGCTCTTTGACGAAGCCGACGAGGTGTTTTTGCATCAACCCTTCATGTCCAGAAAGAACTGGGTGTTTTCCACAGAAGCTCATCCTCTATGGTACACCTCCCAGTACGGCAGCAAATCTGCCCAGCATTTTAGAGATACACTCCACAAGCTTCAAAAGCATGACAAAGCATCCAAGGTTTCTCCCTACAAGCGATCCTTCATCAAAACCTTGTGGCTGAAGCTTGCAAGTGCAGATAGAAGAATGGTGGATAAATTAGTCGAGCCACCATCCGACAGAAATGCCACTGAAGTAAACTGGGAGAGGCTAGGCGTCAAAGCCTTTCAACCAGCTTTATCATCGTTCGATCAGTGTGAAGTGAGACCTAGACAGTTGAAAACACACGAGCACTCATTCATGCAATCGGGCTACTACACATGGAAGAGTCTTTTCCAGCCCGAAGCTAAATTCCAAAATACGCTCGTCCGCCCACCCCATTTACAAAGGCATTCGAAGCTGTCTCCGAATCACTACATCGAGCTCACACCAGCATTTTACCATACATACACAGCATTTGCACCCAAATCCAAGGGTGACAAACTTTACCTTCAATGTGCCCGGGCACCCACCACCAAAGAAACTGATTGTGTCTTTGGCGATCCAGCTAAGCCAGAAACCCACGAGATGTACATTGTCAAGCTGACAGAAAAGAGCTCTAAAATGTCACCAAACGACGTGGTGATGCCCTGGCTTTCTGGGCGCTTCAAGCTAGAAGTGCTCAGGCTTGGAGAACTCGATTCCACCAACACGCTCATCACCAAGGACTACATCCGCAAAGCCCGTCCAGATACGTGGGTTTCGAGAAAATCAGAAGTGCTCCGGATCATTCGAGCCAACGGTGTTAATGTGGGCCGGTACCGCACCGTGTGGACTTCCAGAAAAGCACTTCTGAACACAGACATGTTCAAGATCTCGAAGGACGGGAGGATATATGTCCAAGGCAGCTACATCGAGAACTTTAGAGTGTACTAGAGGCAGCTTTCCTAGAATTAATAGAGAAGGCCTGGTGTGGCTAGGCTAATTTTTCACAAGGCGTAGTTTTTCCGATAACGCTCCAATTAGCAGTTGTGCATTCTGATGGTCGTGAGTCATGGCTGCTTTAATATCCGAAGCTCAATGTTACACAATGTGAAATTGTGAAAATTGTGAAATTGTGAAATTTCATCATACCACCAAATCGGCCCTGATCTACTCGGCTCTTGGCTTGCGGCTGTTTGACAGATGCACCATACTTTAGATTCCGCAGCAGAAGTTCACAGTCCAGTCAACCGTCTTCACTTATCAGAATGCAGAATACAATATTCCCGGAGCCTTTTTCCATTTTCTTGTTTTCCAAAAATCTCTTCACTTCCTCGTAATCACATCATTTCTCGTTCCCACCTTTATCTGGCTGATCGTGGTTACGTTTTCGGCTGTTCGCGGGCTGACTCACCAGCGACCGATTATGGCCGATAGCGGGGTGGGGCCCCATGATATAAAGGAACAGCACCTGGCACATTGAAAATCCAACCTACTCTCATTTTTCGTCTTTCTCTTTCGGTACGTTCCCAATTTCCACGGGATGGCGGGCCCCTACGGCTATGCTGCCGGCCCGGGTGGGTGAGCTATTTTTTTCAGCGAAAATTTATCACAACCACCATGAGTCTATCCCGTTTGGCTTCAGCTGTCACCACTAACCTCGCCAGACCTAGGTTCTTTTCCCAGACCGCCAGAATGACTCAGGCTTTGGACGCTTCGCTTTTGAAAATCACGAAAACATCCTCCCCCAAGGAGAAGCTCCCCAACGACCAGTTGGTGTTCGGTAAGACCTTCACCGACCACATCTTGGAGATCGAGTGGACCGCCGAGAAGGGCTGGGGCACTCCTGAAATCAACCCTTACCACAACTTCTCCTTCGACCCCTCCACCATCGTGTTCCACTATGGTTTTGAGGCTTTCGAGGGCTTGAAGGCTTATAGAGACGGCTCCGACAAGGTCCGCATGTTCAGACCCGACATGAACATGAAGAGATTGAACAAGAGTGCCGAGAGAATCGCCATGCCCACTTTTGACGGCGAGGAGTTTGTCAAGTTGGTCAGCAAATTTGTTGAACTCGACCAGGACTTCGTGCCCAAGGGTAAGGGCTACTCCTTGTACTTGAGACCCACCATCATCGGTACCTCTGCCACCCTTGGTGTTGCTGTTCCCGACAGAGCCCTCTTGTACGTTATTGCATCCCCCGTTGGTCCTTACTACTCCACCGGTTTCAAGGCTGTTTCTTTGGAGGCCACCGACTACGCTGTGAGAGCCTGGCCTGGAGGAGTTGGTGACAAGAAGTTGGGTGCCAACTACGCTCCCTGTGTCAAGCCCCAGTTGGAGGCCGCCAAGAGAGGCTACCAGCAGAACCTTTGGTTGTTCGGAGAAGAGGGCTACATCACCGAGGTGGGCACCATGAACGTGTTCTTCGTGTTCAAGGACCCCAACACCGGCAAGAACGAGTTGGTCACTGCCCCTCTCGATGGAACCATTTTGGAAGGTGTCACCAGAGACTCTGTGTTGGCATTGGCCAGAGCCAGATTGCCCCAGGACAAGTGGACTGTCTCTGAGAGAAAGTTCACCATCCAGGAAGTCAAGGACCGTGCTGCCAAGGGCGAGTTGGTCGAGGCTTTCGGTTCCGGTACCGCTGCTGTTGTCTCTCCAATCAAGACGATTGGCTGGAAGGGTGAGGACATCAGCGTGCCATTGGCTGCTGGCGATGCCGGCGAGTTGACTGTCGAGGTTGCCGAGTGGCTCAGAAAGATCCAGTACGGCGAGGAGGAGTTCGACAACTGGTCGAGAGTTGTGGCTTAGACCTGGCCATCCACGTTGCTATATAACTATTAATGAGGCGGCTCTAGTTTCTGGATTTCCTGTAGGATGTAGTCCCGTTCCTCAACCAGGCCTGGGGCGGAGTTGTTCACGTCGAAGTTGGCGAAAAAGTGCTCGAAGTT